TGGGTGCCTTCTTTCTGTTAAGTCTCAATTTGGTTTCAGTTATGTCAGGTAGAGATTAAAGGCATAAAAAGGGTGTGATTTTTTTACAATAAAGGGATCTCCTTCTGATGCATAAGGAGGTCCATGTCACTTGTTCCTCACTGCTACAGTGGCACTTTTTTTTTTTCAGACCACAAAAAGATTGCAAATACCAGTCAGTATCTCTTCGGTTCTGATTCAGATGGAAGGTTACTGTCTAAACAACAAAACTATCACATATGCCATAAATCCACATATTTAGGAAACCCAAACCCCATGTAATGAGATTTTGCATTATTTTTGACTTTTCTACAAGCAGAAATGGACACAATATGAATTGTTGAATAGATTTTGACCAATCTTTTGAAAAGGAATAATATATTATTCTCTACAATATACTGAAGTTGCCTCCCTGCAGGCACTTCACTTTGGATTCACAAAATGCTACTACAATTGCAGTCAGTCAAACGTTTTCAAGATTATTTTAACTCAGCACTAAGAATGCAGGTACCAGCAAAGTTGCAGTGAAATATAGATTAGCAATCATGGGCTGTACATACACAGCTATTTCTGCCTTTTTAGAGAGAAGTGAAGTCGTTTGGTTTTTTTTTAATTCTGCTAAATCATATGTAAAACTCATGTCCTGTAAAGTTCCTGTCTACTTATTAAGTAATTCTGCTTTTTGGTTAATTATTTCAAGCTTTTGCAACAGAAAACAAAATAATGTATTAACAAAGATAAGCATTTATTTTAGATGTTGGAGATACTTAATTTCTGCAGCAGCATTGTGCACTGCCATACACTACAACAGACTAGTAGGTAGCCTCTGTGCTGTAAATGGTCTATAAAACATTCCATCATGATTTTAACACAATTACTAAATAATTATTATTCTACCCTTCACTACAATGGATGTTCATGTATTTATTATCATATAAGTAAAAACATATTTATAAACAGAGAACAGAATTTGCTGTGCAAGATCTCTCTTTTCTACTGCATAAAATAATTTTCCTTCATCAAAAGCTCTGAAAATGTGTTTTAAAAATCATATAAACTTCCATTTCTGTTTACATTGTTGGATATCCGCTATTTCTGTTTTAGAGCTGGATTAGCCTGTTCATGTCAGTGAGTTTGTCATTCTGACATTCAGAGCGCTATCTATGGAATTCATGCTTTGTCAGTACCAAAAATGAGGTATCAGAAATACCCTACAGATGTGATGCAACAATTGACAATGAAACTAGTAGAAATCTCACTATAACATACATTAACAATGACATCTATAACAACCATAACAACCATTTCCAAAAATGAAACGGAGTTTCTATACTGAAAGGAGTTACTGTCATGTAATACTATAATTCTCTCTCAATCATTCTCAAATAAATTTCTTTCTCAATTCTTTCTCAAATAAATTAATCCAATTTATTTGAGCTTCAGAATTCCTTGTCTCTCTTAACTGAAACCAGGTAAATTCAAAGTATTTGCTTATACTCAGCCCCCCAAAAAAACCCTGCTGAGTAATTGCACACTATAAAAATTTTATCTGAAAATGAGGTAGTTTTTTTATTTTCAAAATGTCTGGGAGTATAAAATTTAAACTACCGTCATATTTGAAAAATACTCCATTGTTCATAGAATGCAATATGGGCAAAATCTTTCACCCTATCCTAACTTCTAGGATTTGATATCTGGTGTCTGAAATGGGAATCATATTTCCTGACCATGTAGTTTCTAGGGTCACTTTCTCCAGACGAGCAATTCATATGAAGTAAGTAAGGAGCAATTTAGACTTAGAGTGACAAAAGAATTTGAGGCACTTATTTCATACACTCTTTTTTAGCTTTGGCAGAGGTCTTGAGAAAATACCAGCATTTCTGAGCTGAACATTAGAATGCTTCTCTCCTTGGAAAGAAATAGGGATGTAGTTTACCAAAGCTAGACTAGTTTGCAGGATGATGAAATGGTAGAAGGAAAAAAATTACTATCCAGGCTTACTTAAGTGCTGAAAAATTAAAATGTAAGCTTTTCTACTCAACAGCATCCTCTTCTCTCAACTCAACTCCCAATATTCCTTCTTGACTACTAATTCTGTAGTCTTATCATAGCACTCCTCATATTCCAGTGTGAAATGCTGGTTGCAGAAAGCCAATACTTCTAACAAATGCAAGTTCATACAAGTAGGCTTTAATTTCCAAAATTATATACCACTAAACTTATAGTACTTAGATGCTAAAATAAGATAACCAATACAGATTTAAGAATCAAGTATCTGTCTTAAAAATCTTATCATTTAGGAAAACAGTCATATTTCCTTACTGTGAAAAAAATCTGCAGAATTTCTATTTAACAAAATTTATGATGAATTGTAACAATTAGTAGCTACAGAATACTAATTAAATAGTCTAATTTACCAGAAAAAGGTTTATAGTTACCATTGCTATAATCCAATATTCATTTTCCTCAGATGCTTGCTGTTACGGACTGTGAACAGTCTGCTTTTCTAAGCTCATGAAGGATGGGCTGGCTGTCTTACTAAGGCTTAATAGGATAACAAGTTCAATTTTTTTTCTCTGGACTTACCCCCGTAAGTACCATCAAACCCAGTCAGCAATGATATACAGTATATACATATCCTTCAAATCAATGAAGCAATAAAGGACTATCACTTATTTAACTCTTTACACATAAAGCAAATAATAAAATAACAACTAAATTATCCAGCAGCTACAAAACGCCAGCTCCATCTGAAAAGCCTTAATCAATCAGATTACCTAATTAAAATTAAAGATAAAAGAGGGAGCAATGTTCACAGCCTTGTTCCACTTCTTTTTCTATTTCTGTCTGCTAAGCTCAGAATCTGATTAGTATATTTAATTCCATGAAGCATCATGACTGCTCTACCTATAATCAGCCTGTTAACATCCACCCATTTTCCCCTCACATCTTGCAGATTTCAACGTAATCAGACTTCAATCAGTAATCAGTTAATTGGCAAGTACTGACTTGCCAATGCTCCTATAGAAAACATAATGTTCAAATTATAGAATCAACACTGGAATGATTCTACTTTTCATGTGTTTACATATATCCAGAATGAAAAATGAGTTAAAAGTAGTATGTTTATTAGGAAAAATGCAAAGTTTGTAAAAATGTCATAACCAGTATTATACTTACATAGAATGTCATTACATTGCATGAGATTACAGTTTCATTTGAAGTATCAATTTTGGTTTGTGTTCAAAGACCTAATTATCTTTTCCTGCTTTATTAAGCTACTATTTCTATTATCTGTAAATTATTATAAAAACAGATAAAATACATATTATTTTCAAATTATACATTGAACAGAAGGTAGTTCTCTTTAGTACACAGGCAAACCGGGATAAAAGGCATCTCCAGAATTTTCTGCCTTGTACATTTGATATCATGAGTACTATTTTTGGTCTGACACCATTGTACAAGGAGGGGAGAAAAGTGACTGATCATTACTCACAGCATAGAAAAAACCACTCTTTTTAGTAAGTAACACTATTCTCTTAATCTACTGCATTAACTTCATGGCAAGAATTAGCCTGCTTTCGAAGCTGCTGCTGTCTTTCGAGTAAGGTGAACTACTGAGATCTTCTGGAGATGTTGCCCATGCAATACTCCAGTCAGAACCACTACACTCTCTTCAACTGTTTCTAAATTAAACTTTCCTGAATTGCCGTAGTTGCCAGAAAACCACAGAATTTGGCTCTTCAATTTGACATTTCCTGTGTAAACCGCAAACAGTAACTGTCCTTACAATGTATAGGTAATTTTGAAATAAATTCAAACCCTGACATACAAATAGGGAAAATTAAGCGATAAAAAGCCAGGAAGAGTCTTTTCTTAAATGGATTAAATTTATTTAACTAGCTTTCTTAGGTTTGTCTTCTTCCCTGCAAATGGAATTCTTCTCTTGGTAAGGGAAAACAGAAAAGAAACCTTCAAAACCATTTTCAGAAGCTTGGCTTAGATTTTGAATATCTATAAAGACTAAAAATCGTTGACACTTAAATTATTAAACTTGAAAGATCATTAAAAGATTACTCTCAAAATCAGAGATTAAGTGTTGTTCCTTTTGTCATATTTTTCTGGTTTTCTTCATACATAAAAGTGTACATTTTTAATTTACTTATTAGCATTGTAACTGCACATATATACTGGTACACAGATTCTCAAAAAAAAAAAAAATTAAGCAGATTATTAACATCAGTTTTAATTAGGGATACTGTGTCTGGAGTTTCACTTTTAGAAGCACATCTCCATAGCCACTCACCATAATTTTCTACACAAAAACTGTTCCAATAGTTCTAGAAGTATTCCCATGGGTCTTAGTCATGTACATTTAGCTACCTCAAAGCCACAAACTACTTATTTTTATGCTACCTATATTTGCTCTACACTTTATCCTCCTTCTTCCATCTGGCTCCTCATTCCTTTGTTCATCTCTCTGAATGTAATCACCACAGCACTAGTTGAAACTTCCTTTCACTGCTTAGCTTTCACCACTTTTTGTATACTTTCCAATATTCTCATTTACTCTATGAGCAACCTGCAACTGATAATTGCCATTGTTACCATGCAGTCTTGCTGGTACGTGCGCCCTACAACAGCTTTCCATAATTCACTTTCTCTGTAAAAGCAATTTTTAAGGGAAGCACTGTATTGCTTCCTTCTCCTTGCCAGACAAGAAATAACCTGTATTTATTTTTATGTATGGCTAAAACAAGGAAGAGAATGAAGCAACATAGTATGTCAAATACTCCAAATCTGTCAGGAAGGCTTTTTGCTTTAAAGTTTCTTAGGTACTGCCTTAAAAAAAAACCATGAAAACTGCTGAGAATAGTGCGACATGGATGGGGAAAACAAAGTACAATCAGGATTTGTACAACAGTTTTACTGATTCCAGGTTGCTGACAATTTTGGAAAAAAATGTGACACCATTCACTGTTAAAAACAAATTCCTCCAAATAAACAAATCACAAAATAATAAGTTTACATTTGTCACTACAACTTCCTCAGGTCATTTGCATTCCTTTTGACATCACTGCAATGACTGCAGAATGACAGACTACGAACTATTACATAATGAAATTTATATTAAACCAGTTTACTTCTCTTTTTAGAACATCAACACTATCCTACATAACTTAATAAATTAAGGCACAAATCTGAACTGTAGCATTAAAAACACATAAATTCATATTTTATTTAACATATCCCTGCAGTCTTATAGCTGCAGTTAATATATTTCTTTCAAATATAAGATTCTTAATAGCAGTAACAATCTTGGCATCTCTATTTCCATAAAGAACTTTGTGCATATTTTGAGATACATCTTGTTCCTCCTTCTCCATTATTCTGTAATTTCATTTCTAATTATCAGAGAATCAAATTACTAACTGCCTAGCATCAATAAGTACATTATTATCTTATGAAAACACTAATATTTAGGCATTCAGAGATGGTTCTCCAACACCTTTTTCAAAAACAAAGTATTGTGTTACACCTTTAAATTCAGGCTGACATACAATTGGGTAAGTGCAAGCCAAGTCAGAATGTACGAGCAAATGCTCTGCTTTGAGCATTAACATAAATTAGGTTATTAATGCAAAAAATACGAAGTACCACATATTCACTAGTTACATATGCTACTGACTTTAAAATAACCATACTTGGTAAGGCTTTCAGCACCGAATGTAGGTTTTTGTGACAGGTCAAATTTAAAAAATGGACATATGCAAAAATGAGAGAGAAACAGTTAAGGCCAAAGAGGAGGATGTAAGTAGAGAATTCAAACACCAGGCAAGGTCAGATAGCCCTCTTTGTAATGCTATGAATCCTTCCAGTGGGGGAAGACCAAATTAAACATAAAAAGTGTAAAGAAAAAGGCATAATAATTTCATTCTAGAACAAGAAAGACAGTCTGTACTCAACAAGGTACCAATTCTACTTATTTGGTGCTTGCTTGCTTGGGATAATTATTGGGTTTTGTCCAAATCTAATTCAGGTCTGAAAATACCTACAAAGATTGCATGGCTTAGCTCTGGAACCAAAGGCTCAGAAAATCACTTGGTTACACATTCACTAGGTTCTAATTTGTTCCTAATTAAGCATTCAATAGAAGAAGTAACTTAAAGAAATCAATTATTTGAACTAAAGATTAGCATTCATTCCAATCCAATGTTTCATCAACTGGTGTGCAATAGCTCGACTTGGTGGTACAAAGAAAGAACGCTGGTTTCCTTTAATGAGAACTTCCACGACCTGCAATAAAAGCAGATTTTTTTACCTTTAGAAGATAGCATTATAAACTATATAGAATCTAACATTGTTCATATTCAGAAATGATCTTCCCATAATGATCCATCAATCTGCCACTGCTATACCTATTAAAGCGCTACTAAGAGATTCTCCAAGGTAAATGCAGAGAAAGTCCAACATTGTGTGAATTATGACATTTTTGAGGCTAATGTGCTCCAAAGGATACCTTCTTCCTAACAGGACTGTGGAGACCGCTAGTATTTAATTTAAGGTTTCTGTGAAGCTTTTTTATGGCAAGGACCACCAGGTGGTGCTCTATACAAAATGTGACAAAAATATTTTTTTTAATATTTACATGTAGTGTCACGGAGATGTGTTTTCTTGGTCTTCTGAAGAAGTTGCAAGTAATGTGAATTCAGTTTCAGCGCATTTTTGAAGCTTATTTCCAGCTGTACGACAATCTGCGTGCTACTAGTTGCATTCAGAACTGATATTCCTTTAAAATAATGCTCCCAGTGTTAACAGAAACACACTGAGATTGTAGGTGATTAACTTTGCCTTCAAGGAGACTTACAGTCAAAATGCTTTGAACAGCTAGGCAGATGTCCAGTGTTATTAAAAGCTTAGCTTCTAAGTTGCCCATAGGAAAACCTGTGAAAACTAAGTTGTGCAAGCAACCTTTCCTTCTACTCATGAACTGAAGTATCTCTGTGAAAGTCTTTTCAGCCTCACTTTTATTTGACTGTATTTTAACTACTGATGGAAGCTAAGGGTAGGATTTCTTATTAATGCACAGTAAGCAGCATTTAATAACAGAGTATTAAAATAGTACTGCATGGAAAAAAAGATATTCAATCTAATTAATTCCCAGAGTCCTTACTTTAACTTCCACCCTCACAGCATATCTGGTAGCATGCCTGTTTGGAGAAACTGTAATGAATAATGCTATTAAATATTACTACTGCATGAAAAGCACAGGCTTGCTAAGGACACGGGTTAAAATAACTTGACTATCTCACAGAAGGCAAAGGTGAAGAGCAAACTGGCAAAAACATCATAAAATGAGCATGCAAGTAACTCAGACATTACTGTGAATACCTATCTTTTTCTGGTTGTGTCTAACCTACACCGACAATCTACTGCCTCTCAAACCTCCAACTGTGATTTATCAACCCAGTCACAAAACAACTAATAATACCCCTAGACAAAATAGGACACAAATGAGCCCTATTTTAACATCCCTCATAATCTTCCTCCTACTCATTAATCTTCTAGGCCTACTAACTTACACATTTACCCCAACCACCCAATTATCTATAAACTTAGCCCTAGCTTTCCCCATATGACTAGCCACCCTCCTAGCAGGACTGCAAAACCAACCCTCCGCTTCACTAGGCCACCTCCTGCCAGAAGGCACCCCTACTCCACTAATCCCAGCCCTAAGGCACCCCTACTCCACTGATCCCAGCTCTGCTGTATGATAAAATGAAGAGTACACATGCTTATTTGGCTTGCTGAAAAAGCAAGTGTCTGTTGTATGCCAGAACCAATACAGTCACAGACTAATCAATAGAAGAAGAAAATGAAATTGAACTTTACCTGTTCTCTAGTGAACCAGCGTGCATCCTCTATTTCATTCTTGTCAACTTTAATTTCTGTGGACACTGCAACAGCTAAGCAGCCAATCATTAGGGAGGAGGGCATTGGCCACGGCTGACAAGAGATGTACTGAACATGGGCAACTTTGACTCCAGCCTCCTCCTCTACTTCTCTTCGAACAGCATTTTCTATGGTTTCACCTAATCAAAAAGTGCAAAGAACAAGCAGCTCATGAAAATACTCCAAGCAATGATCACATGCTGTGCTTTGAATTGACTCAAAAGATTTGAAACTGCCCAAGGCAATTATCTGTAAAGATCTAGTTCACAGATCAGGGCAAAGACCTCAGCACAAGACAGAAAAGTCTAATAAGGTAAAACAGCCACAAAAGCAAAATGGAACTTTGAAAATAAAGTGTAGTCATTTCTCCACTGTAATATTTATTTTCTGAATTGGTAATTCCTTATACACACAAACCATTATCACTATATCTAAAATGTCAAAAATTAAGTAGAAAATACATAATTCCTCTAATTATTCTTGAAACATTCATTTGTAGCTAGCAGTGTTAATTCCTGGATTTTCAGTATGATTGCAACAGCATGTACTACAACTTGAAAAATCAGTATTTAGAATTACAATAGTAAGAAAACAGAGATTTAGAATACTTGCTCACATTTCTGCGTTGTATTATTCCCTTTGCCTGACTCATTCTTCATTGTCTTAACACATGGAGACAATACTGTAAATTGAAACTGCAATGGAAAGCTCTGCTTCCATATCCATAGAAAACTGTAGGTGCATGTGTGCGGAATGCTGATGGTCGCCAGCCTATATAGGCGCACACGCACTGTGCTGTAACCGCTGTAACCTTTTATTAAAGGACAGAGTCCATCCATCAGAAATAAATATCTTGACTTTTTTCAAATGATACCTGAATAAACTTGTTCATACTGTCACTGTATGTCAACCTGCACATGTTTACTGAATATACTTATTCACTATAATTTCACTGGTGAGAAAGATCTGTTCACAATATAGAATATTTTGCAAGTTGATTAGCAGGTACTTATAACTGTAACTAATTTCAACTATTGTTGCTTGACATAGCTATTGAAAAATCTCTTTATCTTTCTTTCAGAATTATGGAGTTTCTACTATCTACTTATTATCTATTTCCATAGAATCAATCAGGCCCTAAACACCTAAGTATATGCTTAACTTAATGATAGCTTTAACTCAGACTTTAACACTTACTTTTCCTATGCTAAAATCCTTCGCCTAAAGTATCACCGGCCAAGGTGACGTGTTTTAAAATATTTTTTTTTTCTTTTAGGTAGTGATTTAAGACTACATGATTTGAAAACTGTTCAGTATTTTTATTTACTCAAGTTGCTCTTCGCTTTTTTTTTAATAAATCTACAGCTGCAAAGTACAGAATGGGTATATTTATTGTAACAACTCATCTATTAGAAGCAAAAAAACTTCAGTTTGAGATAACACAAATTATATTTCTCTGTAATTGTAACAGTACAATACTTTCATTGAGAAAATACACTTGATAAAGGAAAACAAAATTACTCACCAGGTTCTACAAATCCAGCAAGGCAGGTAAACATGCCTGGGGGAAATCTCCTCTGCCTACCTAAAAGGCAATGGTTGCCATCTGGATGGATGACTTGCATTATCACAACAGGATCTGCAAAGGACATGAAATGAATATATTTCAACATTTGAGAGACTTAATGCAGTAAAAACTTCTAGGCTATTCCATACCAATGCATATAAGGGCAAAAATTATATTGAAATCATAACTGTGTCTGTACCCAAAGCAAGCTGATATTTCATTTCATTTGGGGTTACCCTCCATGCAAGATACATCTTTATTTTGTTGCGCAACATACGTGCTTAGTAGAAGCAGCTTACTAACCAAGGCTTGAAATGCAGGATAGAAATTACCCGTAACCAAAGGACACAATCTGCTAAGAGTCAGTACTAATCAGCAACACTAACATATGCATCCAGCATATACCAATAGTTTCTGCAACAAACTCGTTTATTATCATCTTCTTTTCACCACAGAGGTCTGAAGAATGTCTTTTTGACTAAACACCAAATAACTAGACACTTTGCTGACAACGTAAATACTGACTAAACACTGACTACTTTCCACCTTTGACTTCATTTACTCTTTGCTATCAGTTTTTGATATGATGTTGCATTTGACAAATTTTCTCACTTCTGGTCATTGTATCTTTTTCTTTGTAACTAGTAAAACTTTAAAATATTACTAATGTAATATTTTCTCCTACTGGTCTGAGCAGCCCTATCAACTTGTGATCTTTTCCCCTTTTTACTGTCATCTAGTTTTAAGTAAAAAAGTAGAATGTGACCCTTTATACTGCCAATTCTCATTTATACTCTTGGAACTTCTAACTGATATTAGTTGTTGAAATAAGGTTTGCATTATCACAGCAATTCTGTATCACAGACTAGTGAAACAAAGAGAAGCCCGAACTACTTAATCCTAAACAGAGATGAGACACACACAGCTGTGGAGAACACACACAACACTCCACAGTTGTGGAGAAACAAGTATGGAAGACCTAGAACAGAAGTAAGCAGCTGAAATAACTAGAAATAAATTGACATACATGCATAGCAATTTACAAGCAACTAATTTAAAAGCAAGCCACTTTTGAGTGAATATTCTTACCAACTCTTGGATATGATGTGTTGTGAACTCCTTGGAGACTGGGACAACCCTCTTTTAAGCAAGTTTTCTTGTAACCCCCTTCTTCAGTCTTGGTAGCACTCCCACATGTTGGACAGAATCGGTAACGCTGGTGCCACGCTAGAACAGATCTCGCCTGGGCTATTACTCCTTTAAAAGAATACATTGAGAGTGCACAAAATCAAATACTAATTCATGTTAAGGTTTTAACAGCATAGAAAAATCAAGTACTGAGTTTTAACACAAAAAATTAGAGTGTGGTTTGAATCATAATTATGGCTACAAGAGAAGTTGAGCAAAAGGAGTTATGCAGACCCTTTTCTTTGTAGCACAGCAAACACAATAGAACACAGTATTAAAGAGCTACAGGGCAATTTACACATACTCAGAAACAAATTCATCCAGATCAATATACCATTTCTCACAGAAGTCATTTTGTGTAGGCAAACTGCCAAAATTACATGTATCAAGTCTTCTTCAGACGACCATTTTAGGGCTACTACAGGTATTGACATAATAATGCATTGTTCCATTTAAACTTAAGGCTCAAGTTGAGCTTTCCTTTTATCCTTATGTAAAAACACAACTGTTACAATAGCAGTCATTAACAACACTTATTGCTAATGTCCTTACTAACACAAATTCACTTTGGTATCCTAAATTTTCAACACTGTCTTGTCAAATGAGTATCCAACACACTATTGTGAAGGACTTAGGTTCTCATTTCTTGTAAGCAATAATTTTATAATTATTAATTTTAATTAACAATTTAATTACTGAAAACTCAGTAATGACAGTTTTTTTCCTTTATGTTTAAAATGTTCGCACATTAATATTTAAATAGTACTGTTTAAAACCCATGATGATCAATAGGTTTTACAGTCTAATACTGTCATTGCAAAAATTAGTCCTTTGCAAATGCAAATGTTCTTACATACAAAATTCTTCACAAGACCATTACCAGGCTTTTAAAACCAAAATATTTCTAAAACCACTGAAAACACAATTTCTTTGCAGTGTTTTGTCTTTTCTTTGAATTATACCTCAGGGAATACCAAAGTGTATCTTTCTGATTATGCATTTTGCACTTGCTGCATTTTATGCACCTTACCAGCTTCTCTTTCAGGTAACTGCAGTAGCGCTGGCATCGGTGGGTGAAGAAAGTAACAGTCCTCGTGCTTCTGTTTAAATTTTTCAGCAGAACCAGAATCTATGCTAAGAGCAAACCAAGCAACTAACCCATCTTCATCTTCTTGCTGAACTCTTCCATTGCAAGCAGCCATCAGGTTCATATCAAACTGAAGGTCCACTCCAAGAAAAATCAAGGTACATTCTTCAGTTTGGTTCATGAACTGTTCCACATCCTTGTGGCACAACCTGCAAAGCTTTACTTCTGGTTGCTGCGAGCTCTCTCTTCCCCCACCCAAAGTAACCAAGGGACTCAGATTTGAGAAGAGGATGTACACTGTAGCTGGATGGCTTTTTTTTTTACTGAGCCACTTAGAATCTGTTCTTTTATCACTCCTTCTGTCCAGAAGTGTCATGCCAAAATAATTTTCATATTCTTTCACATAATTTGACAAAAAACTAGGTTTCTGATCACCTTTCACATTAGCCAACAAATTAGCTATGTGTTTGTACCCCCAAAATTTAGCAATGTCCAGAGCTGTCTGCCTTGATTTATTAACGATGGATCTGTCACACCTGAATAAACAGAAAAGAGCTGAGGTTACCAGAATAAATATGTTTAGGAAGGGTCCTGTTGCTGTATTATTCTTACAGCATATGTATCTGACACTATTAAGGTACAAGAACTTCTAGACACTCTGTCAATGCTGGGATAGTCTTTAGGCAAAATGTTTAGCATCATGATAATAAAACATAATTTACTACTTCTTCTTTTGCCAAGGCTGTATTTCACATTTTTGTTGATCCTTTCTTGTTGATCCTTTCCAGATTATCATTCACCAAAATTCATGAAGTAGTACAAAGGCAATGAATTTATTAAAATTCCATATACTGTATCATTTAAAAAAAGGCTCAAAACCAGAGCTTCAAAAGTCAGGCTATAGGTCGGCTCCTCATAATCAGTAATCAAAATGGGAAAAAAACAAAGAAAAAAAAAGAAGCCTAACAAGCATTACTTTCTAGAAGCTACTGGAAGGAGCAACAAAACATTTACAATAAAACATTTTATTGAGGTTAATTGGCTTGTTCAGCCTGGAGAAAAGAAGACTGAGGACAGACCTCACTGGGGTGTCCAACATCCTCACAAGGGCAAGCAGAGGTGCAGATTCTAATCTTTTCACTCTGATGACCAGTGACAGGACAAAAAGCCGGACTTCAAGGAATGTTTAGACAACGCTCTCAAACATGGGCACATGGTGGGATTCTTGGGATGACCTGCACAGCTGCAGGAGTTGATCCTTGTGGTCCCTTCTAACTCAGGATATTGGATAATTTACCATAAAATTAGAAACAAGAATATAGCGTCTCCTTAGTGACAGAAGCTGGATCCTGTAGGGATCTTTTAGTTACCCAGATGTCTGTAAAGTGAAACAGGTAAGGGATGTTGCCTCATCACATACATTTAAATACTAAAACCAAAAAGAAACCCAAACTTCCAATAGGTTGAGGCTGACTGGGAGATTAAAACAATACAATTTAATTACTTGCTTATCTTAAATTGGTAAGTAAAACAGAAATGTCACTGTAAACGACAAATTATGTAATAAATACTAGACTCATGAGTTTTTAAAACCAGAAGATACCAGTAATATTAATGTTGCTGATACACAGTTAACTGTACCACAGACAAAACCATTTTGAGATTTTATATTAAACTCAGTAGTTTTTGAGGGAATTTGAGTATACTGTTTAGAAAACTATTCAAAACTTAAGTTACAAGTTTTTGCTACTAAAGCAACTCTTCGCATGACCAGTAACAGGACTCATGGGAATGAAATTAATCTCTCTCAGGAGAGGATTAAGTTGGCTATCAGGAAAATGTTCCTTATCCAGAGGGTGGCTAGGCGCTACAACAAGCTTCCCAGGGCAGTGCTCACAGTACTATGGCTGACAGAGTTCAAGAAATGCTTCAACAATGCTCTCAGGCACATGGTGTGATCCTTGGAGACAGTGCTGTGCAGGACTATGAGTTGGACTTAATCCTTGTGGGTGACAAAAATGCAACTGACTAGATTTGTAGAATTATTGTATGTAATGTTACAAAATATTATCTTCATAGACATTAAGGTTTGTATAACCAGCAACTATAATTGTCAAAATAATTATTCTAAGCATTAACTAAAAAAGACCAATGAGGGTGCAGCATCATTTCATGAACTATATTCAATTGCCTAAAGAGCAATTAAGAAAAGCTTAAGTTAAAAAAACTCTTAATCCTATTTAAGAACTGATAAATTTCCCAGCATCACATAAGATTCCTCAATACACAAAATCTTGCACTATGATACCCTCTACGTACTGGAATGTACTGATTATAGTAGAAACCAGTGGTTCATCTAATGCCCCACTCTGAGCCCCAGCAAAGGCCACAGGTCTTGGCTGTGACTGAAAAAAAAATCAAGAGTGGGTGGGACAATTACTGGAGGATGAGGAATGCTATGCCTGAAGTTAGTCATTAACTACAGAATGAACTAAACTTTCTTTTTTCTGTAACTAGGAGTTCAGAACAGAACAGCCTGGGCTTGATTAATGTTAAACTCAGTTAAATGCATTTGATTCTAACTTAGTTTTAAAGCATTTTCCATTTGGAGTAATTTCAGAAAAGGTGAGTGTGATGTCCTACTGAAGAGTCAGCAAACATTCTACACTAACAAAGATTCAAGTGGATTACAAATCGAGTTTAGAGAAAAAATTTAAGTGGAACAATCAAATACACCAAATTTATCATACAGTAGTTGGAATTAGGGTGCAAACTGTCCTATTCTGTTGGCCTCTGTGAAAAGTGACAACATATCCTTGAATATCAAAGGAGTAACTTTAGAGATGCTTATAAGTTTTAGACTTTCTTAGCAAAAATGAAAAGCATGATGCAATAGCAGAACCCAGTTATAAAATGACACAGAATAAATTTTCCTGAACTTTATCCCTTAAAATTCTGCCATTATCTGTCTGGTAAATTTACTTCTGAGACAAAACTGATAGGGGCAAAAAGGGGGTGCAAAACAGAGCTCTTGAATAGGTTCTACTAAACAGCTTACCCCTCTTGAAGAAGAACCTGCACAACCTCGAGGTGTCCATTTCTAGCACCGTACATGAGGGCTGTCCAGCCATTCCCTGCGGCTGCATTGACCAGTGATGGCAAGCGCCTGAGTAGCATCTTCAGCCCGGCTGTGTCACCAGCAGCAGCAAAGTTATGCAGCTGAGAAACCATGTCCTGATGCAGGTTCTTTTCAAAGTCAGTCATTGTGCCTTCTGAGATTTAAAAAAAAGAAAATAAAAGTGCCAGAGAGTATACCTCCCACTACTAAGACGATTTAAGCAAAAGATTGAACTTTAATGCTGTACAGAAAATCAGTATTATTACCAAAAATATAGATTCAAGAAATTCTTGTGATTGGTGTGATATTATTATTCCAAATCTTCGTCCCACCCGCCTCCAAACATTGTGAAACTTTACCTTAACAATCAAAACCAGTTTTAAAGAGGCTTTCACTGTGGAAATGAAGATTCTGAGTGTGAAAACAATACATCAAGGTTTCTAAACCAAAAGCACACAGGCACATAGACACAGAGAGATAGACACACAGACACAGACACAGACACAGACACACACACACGCGCACGCATATGCAGACGCAGACACCGCTGCCGTGACCGCTGCGCAGCACAGCGACAGCTTCTGCTTCCTCTGGTCCCGCTCCACTCGCTTCCCCAGGGCCGAGTGGGGGAGCGGGGCCACGTTACCGTGCGCAGCCTCCGCTGGCGGCCAGGCCCCGTGCCCCTCCCACCGCGCCCGGCCGCGCTGCAGAGGAAGGCCCGCTCCAGCGCGGGCCCGAGAGAGACGGAGCAGGTCCGAGCGGGGCCGAGCGCGATTGCCACGCTCGGCCCTTCAGGCGGGCGCCCGGCTTGAGACGCTGCCTGTTCCCGCAGGGAATTGCCAGTCGTTCCCCGAGCGCCGCTGCTGGATGGGTTGGGTCGATGCACAGGGTTAAAGGGCGAGCAGCCATTTTGTCCGCCGGGCAGGAGTGGTTATAGGGAAATGATCAGATTGATTTTTGGCATTGCTTTACCGCGCTAGCAGAAGGCAAAGGACGGTGGCAACAGAATGCGGAAGTAGTTGTGAAAAAGGTGCAGCTACTGACATGGCAGCGGAGAAGAGTTAGCGGGGAAATCGGAATGATGTAATCAGCCAGCTGTGTGTCCTGACTAGTCAGGAATATTCCACCAACACCAGAGTGTATGTCCAAAACAGGAGTCCTTCAACTTTTTTTTTCGAATAAAGGGAGAGACTCCACAGAGGCACATGCAGCCTCATTCCAAATTCTCAGCTATATGTCGCCCTCTTCCCATTGCTGAGGTACTAGGAAGGCACAGCCTTCCCGAACCACCTACCACATATCCCTCCTTGAATCTACTGTCATTTTACCCCAAAGATCATAAGTTCAGGCTTGTGCAGACCCTTGTCTGTCTCAGGAGTGTGAAAAATGGGTATTTTATGATTGCCTTTTTGCAAATATTAAAATGAATATTATATGTGTTGCATAAGAAAGTAATGCTGTATTAATTCTCTTAAGTACTGTGTTAAATACAGTTTGAGGTTATAAGAAATGTTAAAATAGAAACTATGTTATGTAGGATACTTTTTTTAAAAAGACTCTCAGCAAGGTAGCAGCCACAGGACATCTAAATCTTTCAGAGAAAAAGAATTTCTTACCCTCTTATCAGAAGAAACGAACTTCTTCCCGCCTCGAAGGCGCTGTTATGATTCAGAGGAAGAAGCTGACGATGACCAGACAGAATCCTGTGTTTGAATGGCATTTATTCATCATGTATGAAGTGTATGAATATGCAACAGGCTATTGTTTTTAAGGGTTAAGAGGTGTCCTTTTTCATGCTGCCCAGAAAAAGATACCCAGACGTCCATAACTCTTTGTTTCTATTGTTTCTTATTGCCCTAATTCAAATTGTCCAAATTATTATTACTCTATTTGTATTTTTATAACCCTTTTATTACTATTAAACTTTTTAAAAAAATTAAAAACAAGTGATTGACATTTTTCACAGGAGCCTGGGTTCTGCAAGCAGTCTGGGTTCTGCAACAAACCTGCTGCCCAAAGTTAGTAGAGGCATTGTGACCCATTTCAAAGATGCTAACACCCACACTTCACCCATCAAATTGTTTGTAAAAACATTAGCTTTCCTCTCACTAAGAAAAACCTTGGAAAATTGAGGCTATATTAGTCCTATAGAAATGAACATGGAACTGTTGTCCTAATGCATTTGCACCTGGAGAGTGCAGGGGGAAAAAAAAGGTGTAGCTTTTGAAAGGTCAAAATAAAAGTTTTGTACTGTACACGGTAATCCTGCAAAACAGATTGTGGTTATTCCTATTGCCTAAAGTTGGAATGCAGAGGTCAATCTAAAACCAGTTGTGACATGCAGAGAAAAGACTCCACAACCAGCAAGTTAGTTCTTCATTTGGGCTTCATTCTTAACCTCTCAGTTCCACCCATGTTTCATGAAGGCTCTGTTCAGAGTTGATGTGCTAGGTAAAGTTTGAAAGAAGCTCTGATTTTAAGTTGTTCATTTTAAGTGAAAAACGTGAGACACTGACTGTGTGAAAGGAACGTGTTGTCAAATGTTTTAGTTTATGTACATTGTGATTAGTGCATTTTAATAGACTATGCTTTTCACACCTCTTAGTATCAAAATAAAATTTTGATTTGTCTTAACGAGTCAAAGTTGTTATGAGGGAAGCAGAAATAAGTATTAGCGGGCACTTAAGCATTCTGTGATAGTATGCTTTGAAGTTGTAAATAAGGACTTTGGGACAATACAGCTAGTGCCTTTCCTAAGCATCTCCCTGATTAGTTTCCAAGCAGTCCTCCCTGGAAAACATTTGGGGAAATACTAAAGGGCCTGATCCAAAGCATCCATTGGTCTAAATATTAGTTTGTTGGTATTGAAGAGATGGAATCCTTTTGGTGGGAGTTTTTACTTTCTTGTAGGAAAGAGCTGTAATAAAGCTGTAGGACAGTATTTATTATGAGAAAAATCCATTTACATATATCAGATAATTTCAAAATGCTGTTTTTAGTACTAACTCTGGACCTCAGCAGTCTAGAGAATAGGGAGAATAGGAATTCTTTCAACTCAAAATGCTTTCAGTCAGCTGAGCAGGAAGTTTCTTACAGCTGTGGAAGGTACTGCAATACATGCTGTGTCTGACCGTCTGACAAGATAAAAGGCGTGTAGAATCTGCCCAGAACATGTTCCTGAAAAGTCAGTGGTTTGTCATATGATGGTTATGAAACAAATTTTCCTTAAGCAACTGATGTGAGGATGAGAGATGAGGAGTGCTGAAGCTTAATGTTCCTGAATTAAATTTGTGGGGACAGTATGCACAACATGGAGAGCTGGAAGGCAGAAGCACAAACAGCTTACTTTTTCAGAAGGGACCACTGCTATGAAAGGTCCCAGCTGCTATGAAAGGTCCCAGCTGCTTCCTCTGTGAGACTGAATGCCTGACCACTGCCCCATTTTCCCCTTCGGCACCTTGCTTAATCTTGATTCATTGGGGAAAGATGAAGCAGCTGTTCAATGACCTAGCCCCAGGTGCAATCCAAGTGGGGAATGTTTCTGGTGTGGTAATCTGCTGGAGTCTCCAGAACCTGAAAAACTGTGAAGGCTTATAGGAAGAGAAGTAGTGTGTCTAGAGCGGGCATGAGACAAGATAATTATAGTATGGGTAAGATTATTATATGTGCTTTGTGACTGATTAGGATTTTCTAGTTCTTCTCCAAATTATTCTTGGATTTTCAGTTTTTTCCATATTCTAATTTGTCGGATTCTCGGCTGTTTAGTTGGCCTGGAAAGGCCCGGGGTGGCCTTGGACAGCCCGCCCTTCAAAGGACGAGAAGGGACTTCAGATCTTTTCTCGGTCTCGGTGTTTATTAATTGTTTATCTAAAAGATTTTCTCTTGGCCCGACAGAGGTCTGCTCAGCAGTCAGCCATGAGCACACTGAGAGCCCCTGGGGCGGTCACCTATCTTTATACTTGAAGTTACGTATACAATATTTATCATTTTTCCCCAATACCTTTTACCTTTATTAACCAGTGCACTTTTAGTAATAACCAATCCCAAAGTGCCAACATCACCACAGAAGATGGAGGCCAAGAAGAAGAAGAAGAAGAACAGGACACGCCCCAATTCCTCCATCTTACTTCTTTAGAACCCCCCTGTACAGAAATCTTAAACCCTGTGTTTCACTCTAACTAACTTATCCCTTCACCATTCACCCCAGTGAAATCCTCCCATCCTCATACAGATGTCGTCTCCTGTGTAGGATCAAAGTCCAGCCACCAGACACTTCTGGCAACATTCCAGGACTCCCGAGCCCCCCAAGGGTGGTCTCAGTCACTCTGCACCTCAGTCCTGAGGGGCTGAGATCCCACACTAATTTGGTTGCATTTGTTAAGCACTTGTGTTTAACTGATGACTTTAAAATTTGGAAGCATGGCTCCCTGAGTTCTAGACTGGTTAATTTAGTTTCTCAAATTTCTCAGGTGATGCTTGAACTGGTATTTGAATTGTTTAATAAGGGTTTATTAATAAAAGTGGCTTTAATAATTTATCAGTGTCTGGCTTGCAAGTACTTGCTCATGATCAGTGAAGTCATATTTGCTGCAAATTTGAGTTGAAATGGCTGTTACTCTTCCTGTTCTGTAGACTCTCTGAGGCCCGGAGTTGGTATTAAAAATATCTGATAACATTATTTTTCAAACTGATATGATACCTGCAAATTATTTTTTGCTTTAATCATAATTATCTTCATGCCGCTTGTTTCAAATTCAAAGGATGACTTCCTTTGAAGTCAAATGAAAGTGTATTTTAAAACTAAGAAACTAGTTTTGCTTGTTTTGGGGAAAAAAAAGAGACTTTCAATATATCTGAGGGAAATAGTGGAACTGATTCAGGGATTTAGGTCTTCAAAGCAGGTTTCGTAAAACTGTTTCTTCTCTGAGTTAATTCTTTGTTTTTATCACATTAGCCTTCTATCTCCTGTGATCTGTGATCTTGCTTATGCTCACTATCACCACCCACTATATATTTTGGAAACAAGCACTATTCCTGCCTATGACGGGAGAGGCCCCTTCTTGCTCTCTGTAGCTTGTGCTGGGATCCCCCTCCTCACTCTAGTCTCTGATGCCACGAGCCAGGAACACCCACATTCCCAGGTTTACTCCAATGGCTGGCACCGCATTCCATTCACACACAGGCATGTGCAGGTCCGTGCAGGACCCCTCAGGTACCTGGCACTGAGTTCTTACAGCATGCATATACATGGGACAGCGCAATCAATTATGCAGAGAGGAAGATAAGAGAATTTTTAATAAGAAGATGCAAGAAGACAAGACATACTGTGGCCATCAAGTGCAGGACTAAGCCAGATTAATGTACTGAGTGGCACTTCTTTACAGACAACTGTACCCCTTTTGGTCCTTTTTATCTATCTGTTCTTCTTTGCTCTCCCTTTCCCTGCTTGTTGCTCCACAGCTCTATTGATTCCCTCACTCCACATGGTTTAGGGCCCCTGGATTTGCAGAATAACCAGAGGACCCCTGAGTTTGCAGACTGCCTAGCTGAAAACTCCAGGTGAGTTTTCATCAAAGTAGTGGCCATAGTTGCATGATAGCTCAGCAGCTGTTGGACTGGCAAGGTTAGTTTACTGTCACTGTTGACCTGTTTGCTTAGTCAGGTGTCAGTATATTTTCCTTCCTGTCTTACCACTGTTCCTTTGGTTTGGC